ACTCAAGCTTATTTGTATCACATGTGTCGATATGAAGCTACTTTACACTAAGAGATTTAAAAGAGATGTAGATCACTAGTGTAAATGAATGTAAATTCTGTTTATGCTTATGTTTCTGTATTGACGATGACATCCCAATGTTTTAAAAATGAATGAAATACATATCTTCGGAAATGATTTGATAACGTATTTATCATGTTTTTCTGGGAACAAATTCCGCAACATTTTTATTAAAAGAGGTACTCTGATTTTTATAAAGCATAAACAAAATCGGTCTTTTCTGGCCGTGAAAATGGGGATGTCACAAGTACTCTCCTTTCCTTTCAGATTGGAGAAACTTTTATCTTTCTGCCTAATTTTATTATTCTTATTCGTTCTGCCATACATTGAAACTTTTTCATTGATTCAGAATTATACTTAATCTTGTTAGCATAATCATATTCAGTAAACGTTTAGTAAATCATGACGAATAGTCTTATTGTTCTTTGTAGTGGACCTGACCAGTGCATAACCAAGTGTACCTGATCCCATAGTCCTTCACTTGACTCACATATACATGTGAATAAGGAATTAGTCTTAATTTCCTAAAGACGAAGGTTCTCATTCATCATACAATACAATTTGCATGATTCGAAGTTTCTATCCAATTGAAACTTGGGTGATGGGAATCTTTCCTTATTTGGTAAATTTTTTACACTAACACAAACGAAGGAATCAAATCCATATTGCTAAAAATAGATACATACAAACATCAATTTTCACAAATGCCATTGTAAGGAAATATAAAATAAGATAAAATCAAATTTTTCTTTATTTATAAAAGTGCGGAAAAACTTGTCCTTACAATGCAAATACAAATGAAAACTATGTTGCTATTTATTCCTAAGCAATCTATCATAACTCCTAAGCAACAGCTCAAAAATCTGATCATCGAACCATGCGATCGAAATCCATCTCTTCGCGATCAGAATCAGCTTACTCTTCTTTCAAGCTTCCTTTGTCTTCTTTGATCCTACAAAACATCAAAATGCAATCTTATCACATCATGTATTAAGAATCTATTAGTAGGAACTTAATAGAGTTAGATAGTGAACTTACCTAAAGTAGAACCATACAATTTGACTTTACCATCTCTTAGATCTCTCAGGTAGTCCGGATAGCTTCGCAGCCAATGCCCCTTCTCTTGGAAATAGAAACAAACAGACTCTCTTGGAATGGTACACGGGACAATCACAGACTTAGCCTTTCTCTTTACCATTTGGTCAAATGGTTTGACCTTGGCCAATCCCTTTCCATTGGGAAGAGAAAGCTTTTTTGGACTTCCAATGTCACCATTGTCAATGTCCATGGAAGTTTGGGAAGTAGATCTTCCAATCAAATTTGCATTACCAGTGCACCAAATCATTTCGGATTCAGCAGCAATTAGCAAATAGGTAGGATCGATAAGGGTCACATCGTGGCCTTTCACATAGTAGTCTTTAACAAACTCACTATATGACTTAGGAAGTGAATGAAGAACCAAGTCAACATGACACCCAACATTCCCAGTATGTCAGTATGCAACTTCATGTCCAAGATGTGAGCACATACAGACTTTCCATCTCCACGTTTGCTTGCCAATAATGCTTGAGTGACCTTTGAACTTTTCAAGTCTTCGAACACGTGGGCCAGGGAGAATAATTGGAGGAGGTAGAGGAAGAGAAGTTCCACTACAACACGAAGAAGGGATTAATCTTTCAACTCGATCGTCTTGTGGAATATCATCTTTATAAGGAAAGCTTTTTCCAAAAGGATAAGGTAGACCATAGTTGTCAGAACTAGACATCTATAAAGGGGGAAATTCAAGTTAGTTGATTTAAGTCCTTAACATAACACCCAAATGAAATATTAAGGCTAGGACCCAACACAATATTCTACAATTCGGAAGAGGGGTGCTGTAATCCAATTGCAAAATATTTGAAGGTAGGTAAATGACGATTTACCAAATTCCACCATGAAAAACGAAAATGAACATTAGGTTTTAAATGAATTGAAATTCGTAGATTCTTTTGAGATTCATTGAACTTGTCAATGGAATGTTTAATCTCGATTATGCCCTTTAAGTTTGTGACTGGGATACCGAGGATCACAAACAAGGTGTGAATAACCATGCAAATTATCTTGGTACTCTCGATGTCATTAATCACCTAATCAATGTGTCGGTTAACCACACATGCTCCATTGATCAATGATAATTTACGAGAAACTCATTGCCATCCTTCATTAGTCCATATTAGTGTGTCGGTTAACCACACACGCTCCACTAACTGACCAATAAGGTGCAACGTGCAGTTTCATGGGTTAGCATCTGTCACAACTAGCAAATTAGGGTTAAGATGTTGATCCTTGTACAAGATAATCTCCTTGTGTAATCTTGCGTCTCATCTAGTGAAATTCAAACTTCAATGCTATTCAGTTATACTTTCATACATTGTCATTCAAGTCGAAACGACCTCGTATAAGCCCAAAACTCAATCCAATAAACCAATTCCAATCAATTTTGGGCCTTATCCCAAGAATTTTCGACCCAAAACCCTTATTGGACCAAGACTTCCTTATTGGGCCCTAATGGGCCGATAACTTCTCCTTTTGGTCTTGTTGGGCCGAAAACTCCTCTTTGGGCCCTAGTGGGCCGAAAACTTCTATTAGACATTATATTTGGCTGAAAACTCCTATAATGGGCCTTTCTGGGCCGAAAGCTTGTAGTTGGCCTTTATATGGGCCGAAAACCCATACTTGGGCCTTAGTTGGGCCGAGAACTAATTTTTTTGGGCTCTTTGAACCGAAAATCCCTATTAAGCACCAATGGGCCAAAAATCTTCATTGGGCCAAGCCAAATCAAAGCCCACAAATATTTTTTTGGGCCAACCTTGGGCCGGTTGGACTTTTAAAAAAAAGAGAAAGAAAGGGAATTAAGTGGATATTAGGCATGCCACCTCAATATTAGCTAACATATATCAAGGATTTGTCTACCAAATAACCATGTAACTATCTCATCACCTTTAAGAGGGGTCAACCCTTCTCTCCTCCCTCCCTCTCTACCTCTCGGCCTACCTCCCCCCTCCTCCCACTCTCATTCAAACTTCACTCTCAACTCATTTCCTCTCAAACATTCAACACTCCTCTCATCTTCTTTCCTCCCAAAATTTTTGTGGGTGTGTGCATGTGTTAGCTTCAAGGAATCTTCTTCAAAGGGTCATAAACTTGGTAAGTTCTAGGTTAAACTCCATTGTTTTGTTTCAAGTTTATACTAAGATCTTTCCTCTTACACTCTCATTTTCGTGAATATGAACCCTAGAGCACCACCATTTCGAGAATCTTACCAAGAGAACAAGCTAGGCTCAAAAATCCTTCTTCATTCTCTTCTACATCTCAAAAATCCTCAAGGTGAGCTTCATACCCCATTATTTTCAAGTTTTCATTCTTTTTTTTGGTGGGAAGGGGGGAATACAAGTCAAGTCTTGTTTGAAATCTTTGAATATTTGCATGCACTTGTATGTATATATGTATATGTGTGTTGAAATGTTGTTACTTCATACTAACACTCCTTAAACTCGAGATTTTTACAAAGTCTCAAGTTGTTGGAACAAAGTTATCTTTGTGTAGTTTCACATATTTTGGTATCATGTTACAAATGAAACAAGTTGCTAACTGAAAATGGTTTCTTTTTAATGTGTGTTAAAAATCACAAATAATGTCAAAGAAAATGTTAAAGCATTTTTTGTTATGAAAGCTTGAAAGATGGTAAAATATGAGAGTTTACACTCAAAATGGTAAATTTTTGGATATACAAATTTTTACCACTAATACTTGTAAAATTTTGAAGCATAATAAATTTCAAGGTTTTATGTAATTTTGTGTAAATTGTGACAAGTTCTAGTCACAACAAAAATAGAGTATTTTTGGTGTTACAAAACACGCAAACAAATTTTTAGTGTGTTAAAAACCCACCATCACACTTGAATATTTTACTAAAATATAGTTTTCATTAGTAAAATAATCGTAAAAGGATGTACTATTTCAAAGGTTTAAAACCTAGAGTATTTTGTTACTTTTACAACACATATTGTAAGTTAACAAGCTATTAGTAATTATTTATAAATATCGTTATAAATAATTTAATATAACCGGTATGCAAAATAGAGTTTTACGACAGGAATATCCATGTGTCATAATCTGACCAACATAAAGCTTTAAAAATATAAGTGTTAAGTTGTATGTCATAAAGCTGCGAAGCGCGTGTCATAAAACTGCAGTCATAAATTTGCACTAAGAACGCCATATGCATTATTCGATAAATTCGTGTAAATTTATTTGAGGCTCTTGTGAGACACTCCTTCACCGTACCTACCTAGCGTACACCATAAGTCCTGTAGTTATAACCAGAGTCTCCTGGAGGGAGAGCGGGGTAATTGTGTATAGATCTATACGAGGTTGACACCCCTACACCTGAGCTGTTCGTTACAGCTAGACGGGCCAGTCTAGGGTGACAAATATCTTATTAGAAACCGACGCCTGAAGAACGTCAAGACAGGCGCTTTAGTCACATTAGCATGGTTGTAACGACTCACATAGGTTATAACAATAATATTTTGAATTTACGAAGAATATACACTCTACTAGTTTTATAAAATACAAAACTATGTTTCGTCTATTTTGTAAACTAATATCACCACTCCGGTCTTAGGGTTTTAAGACTACAACTGTTTATATATATATATATATATATATATATATATATATATATATATATATATATATATATATATATATATATAGAGAGAGAGAGAGAGATAGGTTCAGGTGTTTTAACTAAGTATTGTGTTATTGTATGCATGATTGTGGACCAATCAAAAATTAATAGAAAAAACAATAATTAAATAAATCAATAAGAGTAACTAGGTAATTTGAGAAATAACTTCCACAAATACTCCATATTATTTTGCTAGTTATCGTTGATTTTAACCTAATTCCCCCCCTCTTATATACGACCTACGAATCTTCATCACCAAATCGGTAGCAGTAGTAGCAGCGACGGTGAGCGACGATGCGCTCTTCTCGGTCGGTTGGTAGGTGTCAAGGAATGAAGATGAAAAGGGTCTGAAGAAGAGACGCGAACAGCAATGGCCGGAGCAACGAAGGTTCGTCGATCGGCTTCGCAAGTCGATGTGGTCGATGGGAACAACAGAGAAGGTGTGGATGGCGCTGTGGTCGATAGTAACAGTAGGTACGACTATGGCCGTACCTTGGAGTATGACACTGTGGATGGCGAATATGGTGTGGATGGCGCTGAGTGGTTGGGTTATATCATGCTTGACTGTAGTTGATGAGATCGCTGGTTCACTTCGTACTGGAGATATCGGTCCATTTCATGTTGGTTAGATCGCAATTTGCTATCGTTTTCGACTGCGCTGGTGAGTAATTCTTCCATTATCATGTAATAATTCGAATCAATTCTTGATTGGCAGGGTTTCTGCTTATTTTGCCCTGAGTAATATGCCCTTTAAGTATGCATAATTTGTAATGAAATCCTATGATAATGACGATGGTATGGTTAGGTTTTTTCTTCAATTAATTCGCATTCAATAGTGGGATTATGTTTGCTTCATAGTATTTTGAATTACCCCTTTCGTTGTATGAAGCTATCTTCTGATGAGTACGTACTGTTTTGAAATGCGAAACTGTAATGGGATCAAAGTTGATATCAGAATCATATAACTGGATATAGTTTTGTATTTTTTATACTTGAATTCTTAGATTTCTAGGATGAACACCCATGGAAAATTTCTCTAGATACACACACATGTTGGTTAAAATGCTTGGGATTTGTAGTTATGGCCACTTTTTGGGTGCATTTTTATCATTCCATCAGTGTTATTATAATTATACAAATGAAATATAACTAATACCAAGTTGCATTTTCTTGCAGGTTTTATTGACTTAGTTTCTGTTGATGTAGATATTATTTGCAAAAGTATCAATCACAATTTACAATGGTTCCTCCTACCAAATGTTAGTCTTTTTTAGGTAGTAAAAAGTATGGAAGAAGGCTCTAAAAATCCGATAAAGTAAAGTTGTGTAGTTAAAAGATGGCATGGAATGGAATTCCGATTCTGTTGGAATGGAATCATGAATTCAAATTCTGTTGGAATGGAATCATGAATTCCAATTCTGTTGGAATGGAGTATGGATATTTTCTCACTGATTTATACATGTTCTACAATTCTTGTTTATTGGTTTTGGTGCAATTCACAAGTTCACATCTTTTTCCAAAAAAATTTAGTTTTTTTATTTTTCATTTGCTAATGCATTATTGGAATCTAAACTACAATTTTGTTTTGTTTTCACAGAAGTTGATGCTTGAAGAACGGACAACAAAATTAAAGTGTTTCTTAGCAACATTATTCTTTTAGAATAAATTAGTGTATTTTGTCAGATTTTGATGTTTTTTTTCCCGATTTGAAAGTTTTTTAGTTTTATTCTTTAACAATAAATGTAATTCTTGACAATTGTTACATGTATTCTATAAGAATTAATGTAATTTTTGTTTTAATTCTTCAATTGCTGGTTCGAGAATTTGTTATTCTACAAGAAATTTTTAAAGTCATGATCAAGAAAATTTGTTATTCTAGAATATTATTATTTTTGAACATACTCAAACATATTCTGTCAGAATGTCCGAATTAAAAACCTTATAATTAGTAAAAATCGGATTTTTAAAATTAATAGAATCTATGATCCCTTAAAATATGCAAATTTCCTTTATTAAATATATATTAATTGACTAAAATACCCTTCTAGTTAAATTGGATGGTATTTTTCAATTATTTTTAATTCAATAATATGTATTAATCACTTTCTTAAAATAAGTAAAATGATTGGCCCACATTTATGCATACAATAACACAATAATTAGTTTGAATAGAATAACCTAAGATATATATATATATATATATATATTATATATATATATATATATATATATATATATATATATATATATAATATATATATATATATATGTAGAGGTTCATTTGAGACCACCTATATTTTGTGAGACATGGGGACCAAATCTGAGCCTTTGATCAAAACTGATCTTGTGGCTCATAAGAAAACATGATTAACACTAATTAATCTAAAAAAAATAGTTAATTAGGGGTAGATTAGTCACTAGGTTAAATTTTAGATCATCAGATCTGTTATCTTCACATTATCACAAAACCCAGCTGCTTAGATTCTTTCTACCAATTCACACTAATCGATCAACATTCCTTAATCTTCGATTCATGCTAATCAATCTTCTATTTGCTTTGATTTGAGTGATTGAGGTTTATGTTCATCTATCGACATCAACAATTCATTACAAGATTTTTATCGATTTTCGCTCTGTGATCATCGATTTCATCCAAGGAAGAAGTTCAAGCGTTCAGTCGATTTTTGCTAATCTTCATCTTCAACAATTGCTAACGATCTTTCAAGCTGTGCTTTTTACTCTATATCATGATTTTATCAATTGATCAAGGTTTGAGTTTTCTTCCCCTGAGTTTTCATCACTTTCAGATCAACGATTTTTAGCTATTCATCAACATTGGTAATCAATCATCAACTGATATCGATGTCCATCATATTGATGCTTCGAGTTTACTCTCAAATTAGGTGTTTTATCAATTTAACTTCATCTTAAATATATTATCATTTCACGTATTTGATTTCAGCCATCGATTATCAATTTCAAGCTTTTGGTTTTTTTTGTGCATTCGAGCACATATTAAATGAAGATAAGCAAGCAAAAACAACGTATCTTTGTGTTATTTTGTGCTCATTCTATAAAATCAATGAGGTATGTATATAACTATTATTGTTCTTGAGCCAATTCTCTTACATTATACGTGCACTCCACCTGTTTGATGAAAGTCCTGAATGAATAAAGAGTCTGATGTAGAGTCTAATATATCACTCCTTCCTTCCCACCCTTAAACTTTGTTACTATTTAATGATATTGACCCTAAATTCCAAGCTGATTTTTCTTAAATTAGTGATGATTGGTGTACTTCTTTTTTCAGTGGCTGAAGGACATACAACTATCATCTATGCAAATGTTCAGTGTATATGTTGGAAGAAGCGTATCATCCCTATCTTGCCACCATTAATTAATGATGAGAACTTCAAGATTGAAGAAGCATATTGACATGTTGGTTTCAATGGTTCTTGGTCCATGCTAAGAAGTTGATGGATGATGAGGACTTAGTTCATCTTTAGAATCGAAATCTGCAATGAGGATGTTGGTTTAATTTACTCTCTGCACTCTCTTTATTTCTTTCTTGATGAAATTGTTCTCTACATTTGTGCAACTTTAAACATTGTTATTGCAGCAGATATATATCCTAATACCCATCAAACCCCTTTCATCCATCTCACAGCGTAAAGTGGTACATATAATTATTAAATTAGCTAAATCTTTCATGTCTTCTATCATTACAACTTTTTAGGTAAGTCTTGAATGGAACTATAGAGACTGTGGCTCGATAATAATTTCCTGTAGTGTCTCATTCAATGTAGTGGGATGTTGTAAATTTGCTTATATTTTTTTTGTTTGGTTTCAAGTGATGTATTTGAGGTAATTGAATAAAACGATAACACTATATTCTAAGGTTTTACCTTTACATTGGTATTTACAAATAAACTGTGCATTATTTTAATTTTCTTACATATATATTGCTATATTCTAGTTTGATATTTGATGTTCATATAATCATTTAGTGTTACATTCTATTTAGAATGTTCTACATATACAAACATCCTATAGCATTATTCTATAAGAATATTAAGTTGTAACTTGAATATACACAACCTAATTAAATTATTCTGTTACAATGGTATGTATATTCAGAATATTAAATATAACATTAGAATCTTATGTAATATAAGTTCATTTTATATGTTATAACACAATTTAGAATATTACACTTTAATATTATAATATTCCATACAATTTCATAATATTACGTATCAATTAACAACATATTAGTAAATACTGTAACCTTGTGATATATTTTTTATAATACAAACTTGAAATTTGGTTTTTAATCTATGAGGTTTTTAGAATACGTTTCAACTTCCAGAGAAAAGTTTGATATTTATCCTAAAAGTATTCATTTCATTTTATAAACTTATATGTTTCTCACTCGTTTAAAAAGTTTATTAGTCTAGGTTCCTACATATTATTTGGTTTCCTACACACTTGAAGGGAATGATGGTCTGAATTAGAATATTTCATATTATAATATAATATTACATCATATTACAATCTTTCAGATTATTACACATTAACATTGTAAACATTTCTTTTCTATAAATCAATTTTTTTCTATAGACTATTCTATATATTCCTATAATACTATAAGTTGTAAATTCAGAATATTACATAATATTTCATATAATATTAGAATCTTACATAATGTAAGTTAATTGTACACATTACAACATAATTTTAAAGGGCAAACATCTTTTGTATGATGATTGCAGTATAATCTTATATAATCTTACATAATTTTTGCATTGAAGTACATATGAATAGTCTTATGTATGATAATTAGAGTATAATGTTTTGTTACCAAATTATTATAATACAATATTATACATGTAAGAATATTATATTGGTATATATATGCAACATCTTTTATTATTCTAATAGAATAATGATGCCTTTAACATTATTCTGTTAGAATATTCTAAATTTTTTTGTTTACTATAGAATATTCTACCATGACCATTAAGAAGTGATCATAATACCGACTATTCATTAAGCATTAATCACCTAATAAACCATATCAAATTTCTTACATAATACTAGACAACATTTTTTTGTATAATTTGTTCAAAATAAGATAGATATTACAAAAGGAATTGTTGTGTTTTACGTTCTATTTAAGAAAAAAATAAGTATATGAAAAAACATACTAACAGCAACAACATCGGGCCTCTGTAATAACACTTGGGGTTGTCTGGACGCCATCTCCCTTTTGAATTTTTCACACAGTACAACAAATACGCAAACAAATCGATTTTAGAAATGTCATCTACTTCAACAAGTGCTCTAACTGGAACTAAGTTGTTTGTCCCCATAGGAATGGATTCTACAAACGTATTAACAAATAAAGCTATGAAACCCAGCTTGAAATTCATATCCACTTGTTCGGATTTTTGAATAATCTTCTTGTAGTTTGTTGCATTTGCCTTTCCACCCTCAAGTTCCTTCATCCATCCATCAAACACTTGATGATCTTCGCTAACCATGTCCAAGTCAAATAAGCTTTTTCCAGTTTTGGGTAAACCAAACACTTTATGAATTTTTTCCTTTGTGATCTTTATTCTTTTTCCTTTAATCAGAATATTGTTTGTGCCTTCATCATAATGCTCAAGCACAAAATGGCAAAGTTTTAAGGGAATACTCTTAATGTTGATCTTCAAAAATGCTTTAAATCCCATCCGTTTCACCCAATCTTTTTGTTCTGATGTCAAAGAACTTACAACATCTGTCATCAAATTAGGTGTCGATCTAGTGTTTATTGAAGGCAACTCCTTCAATATATCTTTCACAGTCTTTTGCTCTTTGACGGTTTTTTGCTTCTTTATTGTTGCACGATTGTCCCCACTATTCCTCTTCCTTTTTGCTTCTTTAATCTTTGTCACTCCTTTAACATATTTTCTATCACCGATTCTCTTTTTTACATAGATTTCTTCATCAGATTCATCATATATTTCATTACATCAGTCATAAATGTTAGTAACACCACAAAAATCCAAAAATCCTATATCATCTAATTACAAAGTAATATTCCAAAAGAATATTATACATATACACTTATTATATCAGAATATTGTATGGATCAAATGGGTGTTTTTGTGTGCTGAACGAAAAAGAATGAAAAATTCCATTCCTGCCCCTCCGTGTCTTGATCTAATACCAAAGTTCCATTAATTTACAAAAATGTCACTGCCTATTTTATGGTTTAATCTAAATTAATATAAGCCTTTGATTATTGAAGATGAGTGGTCAAGATTTGGTCTCCCCGTCTCATAAAATCTAGTGGTCTCACATGAACCTAACCCTATATAGAAAACATTAACAGAATATATAATATTTTATTATAATACATAGAATAACAGAAACAAATGAGATAAATATTTTATTAGAATACATAGAATACACAATATATCATTTATTCTTTTATATTCTATTATAATACATAGAATATTTTATTATAATACATAGAATAACATAAACAAATTAGATTAATATTTAAAAATATTCTATTAGAATAAAATTAATAGAATATAGAAAAACATTAATAGAATATAGAATATTTTAATATAAAACATAGAATAACAAAAAGAAATGAGATAAATATTTTACTAGAATAGAATAATTGATGATGTACCTTTTTTTTCATCTTGAGAATGCACCTTTTGTTTCCCTATTGTTCAATGGATTTTCAGAATAAATAATATTAGAAAAAAGATAATAACATCATAAAAATAGAATACAAAATTAACACTTCAGAATATTCTATTAGAATAACATCTATATGAATATGACAATATGTCTACTATGTTTTAGAAGCCAATGAATGTTGAGACATCCATATAATTAATAACAGAAGTCAAAGTCAAACACCAACTTTGACAACTTCAGAAAATCCAGCAACATTCTATAATTAATAGCAGAAGTCAAAGTCAAACACCAAACTATAATTATTTTTATTGGCAAAAAACTTTGAGAAACCAACTGAAAGGATTAGAAAATATCAGATTCTAACAAAGTATGAACTTTTAATATTAGTCAACACAAAATCTCCAATTAAAAAGAACTATGTAAAATGTTCCTGCTAACTCTAATTGTAAATGCATAATCAATAATAACAAATATGAATTTTACCTATATATGACATTCTTGCTATTAGAATAACATTAATACACAAGATATTATAATACAAATACAATAATTGATGATATACCTTTTTTTTCTTTGGCTTTTGTTGTTGTATCGACTGATTCATCAATAAGCTTTAATGATTTTCTTTTTTCAATTAGTCGTTCGGCTATTGAAGTTTTTTCATGAGTTTTATCCATATCCGACCTTTTTGCTGTTTATTGCCATTTTCAGAATCAAATTAGGAATTAATAAATGATTTATCATATCCAAATATCTAGAATAACATTTAAAAATATTCTATTAGAATAAGGAAACAAATGAGATTAATATTTAAAAATATTCTATTAGAATAAGATTAATAGAATATAGAAAAACATTAATAGAATATAGAATATTTTATTATAATACATAGAATAACAGAAACAAATGAGATAAATATTTTATTAGAATAGAATAACTGATGATGTACCTTTTTTTCTTTTTCTTTTGAAGTTGTAGCTGTTGATTCATCGATAGACTTCGATGATTTTCTTTTTTGAACCAACCATTTGCCTGTTGAAGTTTCCACTTCATTACTTCTACCCGATGTCATCATTTTTATTTTTGATTTTGTCATTCTTGTTATAATATTAGCTGCAGGAAAATAATTAATGTTAGTACAAACAGTTGCATAATATTAGAATTATAAACTATAAAGTCAAAGATTGAGCTTAAAAGTGTAGCAGTTTAAAAGTATTTTCTTCATTCTTTAATTGATCATCATTTTTCCTTCATATGTTATATGTTCTGTTTAGAAAAATAAAAAATCTAATCATAATACTTATACCAGGGAATTGTCACCTAATTTCATCTTTCAACAAGGTACCAGTCAAACGATTCTAAAAATCTCTCAAACCAGCCATTTTTGAAACAGGGGTAAAATCTTCAATACTTTGCAATGCATTTGCACAAGGTCCTTACTCCTGCTAGTTTGATTACTATCGATTTTGCAGATTAATTTAATGTTATTTTCTACATTTTCGCTTGCTTCTTGAAGGTATGGTATATCTTGCATCTTATTTCATTTCGTTTCACCTATTTCACTTTATGATCCTAATAATGGGTATTTGCCTAACCCTAATCACTAACAGTATGTAGATTTGGAGAATGGAGCAACAATAGAAGATCAATTCTCGAAGCAACATCCTTGTTATCAAACGAGAACAATGATATATAATGATAATTAACATAACTATTGAAAATACCTGGAATTTCTTGAGAAGTTTTGGTAATAATGTCATTTAGATGATCTGATGGTGTAGATTCTGAAGCACGTGTTGAAATATCCATTTTCTTTGATAGAAATATTCGATAAGAATCAAAGTAAGTAAGTTTAGGGTTTTATCGAGGGACTAAAGTGCAGAACTCCACAAATGAAATCGATCCAAAGAGAAATCGAAGATGACGAGTTCAAAATCACAAGAAGTTAGTGTTCTAGTTGATTATCGAGGGTTTTCGTGTAACAATCGGAAGATGAATTTCAGGAAGAAGAACGATGATTGAGATTTGTATCAAATGAGTTTTAGTGTTCCTATCTAGGGTTTTTAGGAAGAATACCGGGTGTTTTTGTGTGCTGAACGAAAAAGAATGCAAAATTCCATTTCTGCCCCTCCGTGTCTTGATCTAATCCCAAAGTTCCATTAATTTACAAAAATGTCACCGCCTATTTTATGGTTTAATCTAAATTAATATCATCCTTTGATTATTCAAGATGAGTGGTCAAGATTTGGTCTCCCCGTCTCACAAAATCTAGTGGTCTCACATGAACCTAACCATATATATATATATATATATATATATATATATATATATATATATATATATATATATCAGAAAATATACGATTTTCTGGGGACACACTATTTTCAAATACAAACAAAGTAAAATAAGAAATATGCATGCAATTATACACGGTTTGGAAACGAGACTCACAACTACTTTTTTTTATAGAAAATATTGGAGTTTCTGGAGTTTTGCAACTTATTATAAACTAAGATATTACAAAGTTTTTCCTACAAATATGCTTATAAACTCACCAACATTCTATGTTGACGCTTTTCAAAACGACTTGTATTCTCAGGGACTCAGTGAACAGGTACTCGAGCCTTGGTTCTAGATGTGCTATCTTTTTGAGACATCATACTTTATGTTATTTTTGTGTAATGGAAGAACAAGTACAATTTGTAAACAATGAATGTTGGCATATTGTAATGTATGATGTTTGGTTGCTATGTATCATTTATATTCAATTGCTATGATATTACACAATGACGTCATCCGCCCCCGAACGTTTCCGTCGTCCTGGTTCGGGGGTGTGACAGCATCAAATTCACATTTTTCCTAAAGTAACTAAAATTGGGAATTTATAAAGTGTTTAGTTACTTTGTATTTCATTACACTTTTAATGAGGATTTAAGTGTCCTGTCAAACCCGTTCGGCTAACGACCCTCTACTGGTCAAGGGTGCGGTGGGTAAGAGTGGATACCTAATGGCGATCATTTTACAGGCCGCTTCCTTAAACACTCTTTATAGACCAGCTTCGTGAATGAGGCCTACTAACTGTAAGACTGACTTTTTAACTTATACATATATAATATATTAAACTTTTAATTTTATATAGTATAAGAGTGTATTTTAAACCTTTAAAATACCTTGTGGTTTAATCTATTAATTAAACTATACTTATAATTTAATTAAACTTAAGCCATGTGATTGTGGATTTATTAATCTTCTCTTTTAATTAACCATTTAATTAATTTAAGTAAATCCATAACGATGTAATTTGAACTATTCAAAACATCAAGGTGCTAAATATAAAAATTCAAAATTAAAACCATTTAATTAATTTTTTTTAAGTTATGAACCCAAGAGTTTTAGAATTCAATGTCTCATAAAAAGACATTTTCAAATTCCAAAACTTGAGGGCAAGTTTTGTAACTCTTGAAAACTTTTGGATTCCATAACTTATGGAGTTAGTGTTTTTTTATGAATGTGACTTTTCATGTTCCATAACTTGAGGACAAGTTATGAAACTCTTCTAAACCTTTTGAGTTCCAAATTTGATGACAAATTTTGTAACTCCTTAAAAAACCTTTTGAGTTCCAAATCTTGATGACAAGTTTTGTAACTCCTTAAAACATTTAGATCAAATTTTAAACTTATAAAATAATCATTTTATTTTTTACTAATTTGATCATAATACAACTCTTGTAGTAAGATAATTTCAAATCAAATTACACAAATAATTAGTTTATCATATAATCTAGTAATTATTTTATAATTTGACAATTTATCTTTTAATTGGATGAGGATAATCACTACCATATCAGAAAAAACAGATTTTATGATACAAAACAGTTTGTGGTAATGATCATAATCCAATTTTGGCCAAAAAACCCGAAAAACTGCCAACAAATGATCCAACTCGTCGAGTCTAATAATGGACTCGTCGAGTTCATCACTGATGAACATGGACTCATCGAGTTCATGTATGGACTCGTCGAGTCCTTCTGTTAGAATGCAATCTTTCAACCTTTTCAACTTTGAAAAATTAATCTATGGATCTATATAACAGAAAACACCCATGGCTCTGATACCACTGTTGGGTTTTAGGTATTATAACACTCCTATAGTGCACATACATCCCTAATAGCTTTGGATCTAAGTTTTCTCTAGTTATACATGCAACACAAATTATCCAAAGCATGAAGCCTACAACTAGCATACAGTATTGATAGATGAATCATAAAAACTAGTTAGAAAATTACCTTTTTATGTAGCTTGTAGAAGTTGGCCTTTCAAGAGCTTAGCACCCCAAGTGTGATGCATCAAACAAGTCAAAAACACCATGAACAATTGGAGAATAATGAGATAGAGGTTTAGGAGCTCAAAATCGGCTAGGCATTAACCTTGGAGTACTAGTGGCCAATTTTGCAAGCTTAGGGACCCAATTTATAGTTTGGAATCTTTAGGGTTTAAACTTGTAAACCTTAATTCACTTGGGATTTTAATCCATTAACTCATTAGCCTTATGGACTAACTCTTCATGGACTCTCACAAAGGTTTAGTCCATTTCTAATTAACATGGATCATTAACCCACACTATAAATATCACAGATTTACATAATCAGTCTCTACATATTTAATTAGTCTCTTTTGATCACTAAATTAATTCCAAATTAATTATTGATCAATACTATCTAAATAATATGATTTATATATTATTCTTATAATATATTAATAAATCACAAATAACCTCTTTCTCAAAATCCATCCTATCAAATTGTCCTGATGAAGGCAACCCGAAATGGACCATGCTGCTCTAGGGTCAAGTACATACCAATTATAGTTATGGAGTTGTTAGACAAGGGATTTATTAGGTCGAGCAGTTCGCCATGGGGAGCACCGATTCTGTTCGTAAAGAAGAAGGATGGATCTCATCGCATGTATATTGACTACCGGGAGTTGAATAAGGTAACGGTGAAGAACCGTTATCCACTCCCAAGGATTGATGATCTCTTCGACCAGCTTCAAGGTGCATCTTGGTTTTCCAAGATTGATTTGTGATTGGTCTATCATCAGATGAGGGTCAGGGATGATGATGTGCAGAAGACGGCCTTCCGGATTCTCTATGGCCATTAGGAGTTCGTGGTGAGGCCATTTAGGCTCACCAATGCTCCTGTTGCATTCATAGATCTCATGAACCGCGTGTATAGACCGATGTTGGATCGGTATGTGATAGTCTTTATTGATGATATATTGGTTTATTCCAAGACGCAGGAGCAGCATGAGGAGCACTTGAGGGAGGTGTTGGAGACATTGAGGAGGGAGAGACTTTTTGTAAAGTTCTCCAAGTGCGAGTTCTGGTTGCACGAAATGTCGTTCCTGGGCACCTTGTCAATCAGAAGGGTATTCTGGTCGATCTGGCCAAGGTCGAGGGCGTGATGTAGTGGGAGGTTCCGAGGTCTCCATCTGACATTCGGAGTTTTCTCGGGTTGGCAGGTTATTATCGGAGATCTATCCAGGATTTCTCCAAGATTGTTGTTCCATTGACCCGACTGACCAAGAAGTCGGTGACATTTCGTTGGGGGCCTGAGCAGCAGGCAGCTTTTGAGACTCTTAGACAACGATTGTGTGAGGCGCCGATTTTGACCCTGCCAAAGGGTGTTGATGATTTTGTGGTTTATTGTGACGCTTCGATCACGGGTTTGGGTGCAGTATTGATGCAACGGGGTCGCGTGATCACTTACGCTTCGAGGCAGCTGAAGCCTCATGAGGCGAATTATCCGACGCATGATTTGGAGATGGGGGCTGTGGTTTTTGCCCTCAAGCTTTAGCGGCATTACCTCTATGGGGTTTGTTGTACTATTTACATGGACCACAAGAGCTTGAGGTATTTGATGGATCAGCCGAACCTGAACATGAGGCAGCATCGTTGGTTAGATGTTGTGAAGGATTATGATTGTGAGATCCTATACCACCTGGGAAAGTCAAATGTGGTGGTTGATGCTCTTTACCGTAAGGCGTTCGAGGCTTCGATCAGAGGTTTATGTTTGAGGATGACCGTGGTTACTCCGTTGTTGGAAGGGATTCGTGAGGCACAGGTCGAGGCGATGAAGGAGGAGCACCGGAAGAACGAGCGGATTCTGGGTCAGGTGGCCTCCTTCGATTATGATAATTAGGGATTGTTGACCTTGCATCGGAGGGTCTGGGTTCCTTATTGGGGCAGTGCGCACCAAGTTCTAATGGAGGAGGCTCACAAGTCGAGGTTCTCCATCTATCCTAGGGCGACGAAGATGTATAGAGATCTTCGCCATGATTGTTGGTGGCCCTGCATGTGTAATGCCTGATTCCTGGTACGTATTTAAATTATAAATTATTCATTTTTTTCAGAGCAACTCGACGAGTTGGAAGCCCCAAACTCGTTGAGTAGAGATGGTCAGAACCACGTGATTTAAGTGGCCTACTCGACCAGTTGAGAGGCCTCAACTCGACGAGTAGATCGGCTGAGATGAAACCCTAATTTCCAGGGTTTTGCACCCTATTTAAAGGACTTAATCCTTTCCCTCAGCCTCTCACCAGCCTCCCTGAAACCCTAAATCGCATTGTGAGCTCCTTGGTGAGAAACTTGAAGTTTTGAGTGGATAGATCTGTGTGTGTTTTTGTGCTTGCTAAAGGAGTCGGAAGAACTAGAAGTCATCAAGCTTGAGGAGAAGAATTAGATCTGGGATCTCATCCATCTTTGGCATCTTTCTGAGGTAAAAAGTCCTTAACTTGATTATTCATAGCTT